CTCCCCTCTCCCTCCCTTCCTTCCTTCCTTCCTTCTTTCTTTCCCTCCTTCCTCTCTCTCTCCTTCCCTCCTTCCTTCCTTTCTTTTTTTCTGTTTTGCCCATTGTTACTTTCTCTTAGTTTGGAGATTATATACTCTTTTCCTATTCTTTTAGTAGCTATAATAGAAATTATAAAAAAGCCTTTTTAAAGTTATCAAAACCTAACATTAACTTGTAAATTTACCCTTCTCCTGAATAATGCAAGGACCTTAGAACATTTTAAATTTATGTCATTTCTGAACAATATGCTAGTGTTATAATGTATTTTAATTCATTTTATGTGTACTCTAAATCCAACAAAAAAATTTAACCCATTCTCTGGTCTTAATTCCATCATTAATCTGATTTTTTTTTTTTTTTTAATTTTTGAGAGAGAGCACGTGAGTTGGGGAGAGGGGCAGAGGGAGAGAGAGAATCTTAATCAGGTTCTATGGTCAATGCAGAGCCTGAGGGAGGATTTGATCCTCTGACCCTGGGATCATAATCTGAGCCAAAATCAAGAGTCAAATGCTCACCCGACTGAGCCACCCAGGTCCTCCTAATCTGAGATCATTTTCTGCCATTTTCATTTTTAGAATTTCCTTTGGGAAACAGTGCTTGAGGACAACTCTCAGTTTTGTTGTGTCTGGTAATGTCTTTATGTCACTCGCATTCCTATAAGGTTTAGAAACCAAAATCTGGGCACTAGTGATGCTCATTTTTACTGGTTGGTCACTGTTTGTAGGCCATTTAAGTGACAGAGTTTCTATCTATCATCTCTATCATCTATTATCTATTTGCCAATCATCTGAATACTATCTAGTTCATATTGTCATTTCTAAGTGTGAACTATAGGGTTTTTCCTTAACTTCTGTATTATACTTGTACCTTTTTTCTTTCACATTGAGAGTTCTCATTCACAAGGACACAAAGGATGGATGAAATCAAATATTCTATAATTACTCATTTACTTTACCCAATATTACAATAGTCTCAAAATAGCAATTCAATACAACTCTACCAATTGTTACCAAAAACAGTTAAACATTTTTTGCCTATACTATACCTACACTATTGTATTCTCTCCCATTTTTAAAAGATTATATCTACTTGTTAGGTAGTATAGCCATTGCATACTATAATTTCTCCCTTTTAACTCTTTTATATTAAAAAAACATGTATCCATACATTTATAAGCATTAAATATATAACAAATATTATATATATAATTAGAATATGTATATAATATCATTATGTCAATGACTAAGTATTTTTGTTATTTAAAGTGTGTTCTTTAGCAGCTTCCCCAGAAAGGACACTCAGAAACAATTTTTCTCCCATGTTGATATCAATATGCACCTTTTATAAATTAAGGCATATATTTTTTCCTTGAAAATCTTAAATATATTATTCTATTTTTCCTGTCATAAAATGTTATTGTCAAAAAGATTGATAGTAATCTAATTTTATTTTCCTCTTATTCTTCCTGCATAGATGCCCAAAAGATTTTTTCCTTTTCTTCAAACTTCAAACTTTTCTTCAAACTTTTCTTCAAACTAATTTTACTAAAACATTTCTTGGTATTGGTCAAGCTCATTTGGTATTTTCAGGTATACACTGTGGTATTCCAGTATGTAATTTTAAATATTTTTTACTTCAGGAATATTTTCTTAAATTATAGTATTGTGTCTGCTCTGTACCCTTTCTTTGGCTTTCTTCTTTAAAACTTCTAAGGGTGCCTCAGTGGCTCAGTCGGTTAAGCATCCGACTTCGGCTCAGGTCATTATCTCAGGGTGACCTTACCCCATTTGTTTTCTCTCTCTCTCTCTCCCTCTCTTTCTCAAAAATAAACATTTAAAAAATAAATGAAAGTTTCATTATCTACATGGTAGTCTTCTTTGCCCATCATTGATAAGTCATGCTCTCAAGTTGTTTCCTTTCTTCACTTTGTTTTGAAAATGTTCCTCCTTGGAAACCTATTTCTCTCAAGGCATCAGTTATTGTGTTTGTGTTCTGAGTACACATTTAGTACATTTATTGTGTTTTAGTTCTAATTTTTTCAACTTTTGTTTCTAATTCTCGATTTGTCATACCACTTTGAATTTTTCTCATTCTGATTTTTGTTATTTGTGTGTCCTATGTAATTTTCCTAATGTCTTTAAGCTCATTAAGTTAAATATTAGGTTATAGTTTTGATCTGTTTTTTACCAGGTCTTTCTGGTGTTTCTTCATTGTCTTTAGGGATGCTATTAAGTCCTCTAGCATTGTTTTTCCCCTTAAATTAACTTGTGTGGGATTTAATCATGATGCTTTCCTATTGTTCATTTTCATGTGAATTTAAGTTTCCTGAACTTATAAGTGGTTTGTTCATATAGATCTGTTAACTTCATTGAGCTCACCTTCTGAAGTTTTCTGCCTCTGTTCCCTTCATTCACTTTTTTTTTATTTAAAAAAAAAATTTTTTTTAACGTTTATTCACTTTTGAGACAGAGAGAGACAGAGCATGAACGGGGGAGGGGCAGAAAGAGAGGGAGACACAGAATCGGAAGCAGGCTCCAGGCTCTGAGCCATCAGCCCAGAGCCCGATGCGGGGCTCGAACTCGCAGACCGTGAGATCGTGACCTGAGCCGAAGTCGGACACTTAACCGACTGAGCCACCCAGGCGCCACCCCCCCCCCTTCATTCACTTTTATATAGACCTTCTCTTTTCTTCATTCCTATTATCCCTGTTTTGCTAAATGTTGATTCTACAGTTTTTCCTCAGTATGGTACTTGGTTCTGGAAAGGAGTCTTAGCTTATCAGCTTTTACAGTAGATAAAAGCTGGATTGCTCCAACTCCTTTAGGTTTTACCAAGTGCTCCTTGCACTTATTCACTTTTGAGGCAATCATCCAATTTCAGCTACTGTCCTCAAATTAGCTCACAATTTCCAATAAATATCTGATGGGTATTTTGGGGTCCATCTGTTTGTAAATAAAATGGGTTCTTCACCACAGAGTTTGAGAAGTACTGATGAAGGAGAGAGGAGTATTAGGAGACTTCATAAAAGAGGTGGCTTTTAGGCTGGGCCATGAGGACAATCTAGATAGGAATGAATGTTGACATTCCCTGTGGGGAAACAGGTTCTACTTACATAAATGGGTTAGAAAAAGCTTAGGATGGAAAGCCACCACCACGGGGCGATAGCGCCCAAAGTTAGCTAGCAAGATATTGAAATGGGATCACGAGTAACTTGTTATATCACCTGCAAGAAATTACTTTCCATCTGATGCCAATATACTATTATACTTTGGATCACAAACACCACTTGTCCCCCAGACCCTTTGCTTCCTACATACACAAGTTAATGATTACTGACCAATTGTTTTCTCCACGTTCACGTGTGCAAGATCTTGTTTTCTTCACATTCACCACATGGGTAATATCTTTTCTTCACATTCACCACATGGGTAATATCTTGTGAGCTCAATAAATATGGAGATGAAATCCCTGTTCAGGACTCTTGTCTCCTCCCGGACATTAGCCTCTCTCATATTCAATTCTATGTCCGCTCTCTTGCTGGACAAGGGAGAACTCTGTACTCATAGTCTGCGACAATTCTCTAGGACTCTGCCGTTGGCCTCTGTCTCACTTTCTTTGGGGGAACCATTCCCATGACTTCAAACATCATCTTTAAGGCAAAGATTTCTCCAGATCTAGGTCTTCATCCCAGACTTGTAGAGCCACTTGGCGGTCCCATAAGCATAATAAATTCAACACTGTACAAACTAAGCCCATGGCTTTCTCCAAAACTTTTGTCACTGCATCCCATGTTATGTTTTTATTTTCACTTCAAAATATTTTCTAACTTCTCTTGAGGTTCTTTTTTTATTTGACCCATAGGTTATTTAGAAGTAAATTGTTGGGGCGCCTGCATAGCTTAGTCAGTTAAGCATGTGTCTCTTGATTTCAGCTCAGGTCATGATCTGAGATTGAGATCACAATTCGTGGGATCAAGCCCTGCTCTGTGCTGACAACATGGAGCCTGCTTGGGATTCTCTGTCTCCCTCTCTGCCTCTCCCTGCTCACGCTCTCTCTCTCTCAAAATAAATATATAAAAAAAGAAGTACACCATTTAATTTTCAACTATTTTGAAGCTTTTGAAATTTCTTTATGTTATTGATTTGTAGCTAATTCCATAAACACACCTATAAAGCTCCTTTCCTAAGAATTATATTGAGGCTTATTTTATAAGCCAAAATATAATCGCTTTTGGTGAATGTCCCACATACACTTGAAAAAAATGTGTATTCTACTGTATTTTGGTGCAGTGTTATACGAATGTCAGTTAGGTCAAACTGGTTGGTACTGTTATTCAGATCTTTTATATCCTTACTGATTTTTCCATTTATTCTATCAATTACTAAGAGGGGAATGGTGGAATCTCCAAATACAATTGTGGACTCATCTATCTTTCCAATTTTATCACTTCTCTCAGTTTTTGCTTCATAAATTTTGATGCTCTGGATTTGAAATGCTACCATTAGTATATAATAAATTCACAAATATAGGAGTCTGTTGAGTCTCTTTCTTGACTATGTTGTTCCACTGATCCATGCGTGTATCCCTGAGCCAGAATCACATTGTTTTAACTGTGACTTTAGATGATACTTTGATTATTACTAAGGCAAATGCTCTCTCTTCCCCACAATTAACTTTTCTTTTTCAAAACTATCTTGATTCTTTTCATGTATTTACTGCTCGTTGAGAGCGAGAGCAACAACTGGTCAAGTTCTTGGTAAGTTAAATCTTCAGTGTTTTATACATTTTACATATCCTTGTTGCTCAGAGGTATTTTTCCTATTGAAGATACAGAGGATGGCAGACTTTTCCTTTAAAGGGCCAGATGGTAAATATTTTTAGGATTTATGGGTCATATGATCTCTGCCACTACTAACTTGGCCATTGTCACTACAGCACAAAAGCAGCCATAGACAGTATGTAAACAAATGGGCATAAAACTTTATTTACAAAAACAGGCAACATGTCAGATTTGGCCTGCAAGCCATCATCCGATGACCCCTGATGTAGAAAAAGAAATTTTTACACAGTTATCTTGTATCCAGACTTCATAATGATTTTTCTAATACTGTATTTTAGTTCAGTCTATTATTTCTATGTGAGCAAATACACAAACAAAAGATCGCTTTGTTCTAACTTTCCAGTATTTATATACCATTTATTCCTTTTTGTAGTCTTTCTGTATTGGCTAGATAACTCTAGAGCAATACTATAGTGCTAACAGGAGTTACTGCTTTCCTAATGGGAAGGCTCTATTTTTTCACCTCCCAATATGATGTCGCTATTAGTTTCTAAAAAATGTTCTTTATCACATTCAAGTTTCAGATATGATAGTTACATTAGGCATGTTTTAAGATCCCTTCTAATTCAAATTGTTACATGATGAGGTCATTACTTACTTCCTTTTGATTATAGCTGTAGACAAATTGAGCACTCCATTGAGCAATCCATCATCCCCACTGAATACCACTAACCTGTTTTCACTTAATGGATACTTTCCAAATCTTCTAGTTCAATTACTTAAATCTCAAGACAACATATAAGAAAATTAATTCTTCCCAGGTATTAAGAAAAAGTAAGTAGGAAAGGAAACTTTTTTGTTTTAGAGTTAAGGTGTTTTCATTTAAGATTTTTCAGTAAGAATAAATCACTGAAATGACCTCTGAGTAGTAAATGTAAAGTTAATTGAAAATTCAATAATGTTCTAGATAGCTTAGGGGTGAAAAGCCCAAGGAAAAATAAATTACCAAGACTTATAGGAGAATAAAACCTACAGTGTTTATTTCTGAAAAGATTTGGTCCAACATGTCAGTCCATCGAGGACATGCATCTTTAAAAATATGTATTTAAAGTTGAAAGTTAATAAATGCATATATGTTTTTATTTAAATGTTTTAACAGTTCCTCTCAATAAGCACTCATACACTCACAAAGGTGTCAGTGGGAGTTTCGTATTCATAGTCTAGGCAAAGACTGATTTATTGTTGGTATGAAACTTAGTATTTCAATTAGTCAAACATTTTCTATTTGGAATTCACTTTCCAAAAATGAAATAAAACAAATGCAATCAGTATTTCCATGTTTACTTATTTAATTTCCCTGAAAAACTAAAAATTAGTCCAGCTATAAAAATATGAGGCACACATTAAAGAAGAAATATGCTTACCATCAAGAATTGTGGCATTTTTTTTTACAAGAACATTTCAAGGCCTAGATAATAAAAATACGTCAGGCAATTCATAGTAAGTCTTTTCATTTAAGTAACAGCATAGAATCCTTCTCAGGAATACTGCTGTACATTATATCTATTATTTTACAAGAACAGAGAGAAAATAAAATGAGGGATACAAATATTAAAGGCCAATCATCAAAATGAAATTAATGTTTAGCATAGATTATTTATATGAACAATGTAAATAGGTAGAATCATCAATTTGATTTAATATAAAATATATTTCTGGCATATAATTATTGTTAAAATGAAAATTATCAAGATAATTCAACAAATCCAAATATGCATTCAGCCAAGGGAACAAAGTAAGCCTCTTAAAAATTAAAGATTTACAGATTAATATTAGAAATTTTCTCAGTATAATACATGAAATATTCTGATCTCCATTGAATCACACTGTACAAAAACATGTGTCATTTGCTTCATAGCTTATAATCAGGTAAAAATGGTCACTAAAATTCCTTGACCAAAATATCACTGTAATTATATGAGGCAAAGTCCTATAATAAGATGGATGTAATAATGGCCACATCTTTTCAAAAAGAGAACATGAAAATTTTCATTCTCACAGCTATGAATTTGGTTTTCCAAAACCTGGCTCCCAAAGCCAACTTTTAAATGTTACAGCAGAGGTGGGGCAGTAATGGAAAGAAATGATTTAATGGAACTCTTGAAAAAAAAAAAACTATCATAGATCTTAGTTTAAGAAATATATCTGGCGTAAGAGAGAGATACACAGAATTATGTAATAATGCTTATATCAAAGTTTATTGATTAGCTAAAGGGCAAAGAGTAAGAGGCAAGTAAAATGTAATACGTGCTTTTGACAAAGCAGACTGAGTAATATGTTAAGTGTTAGGGTGGGATAGGAAAGAACTCAAGCTGGGCAAAAATTTCCTCTTGGACTTTCTATATAAACATCTATTTTAGTTTTGGCCTGTTCACCAGTGTGTTCATGTGATGGAGCAGAGGAGCTCTGCCCACCCATGAAATACTTCCCAGACCGACAGGTCCTTGTGCAGCTGCTCTAGAAAAGCAGCTTGTCCTCTGAGGTCCCTGGGGTCCTATAGAAACTATAGGAAAATGAAATCCAATTTGTGTAAAAAGTTAATCCATCCTAATTAGTGAACTGAGTTATTCAAATACCAGCTAAAAGTACATGCTCTAGCTAAAAAACATGGGTTAAGTATCTGTCTTGAAAATGCCTCCAAGAGGTCATGATGTGATCTTGCCTTTACTGGCCCTATGTTCTCCCAGAATAGGGGCTTTATAAGGTCCTGGAAATCCTCAGCTCCCTTTAGCTGCCTGTCCAAATAAAATCTTAATGAATATAGTTTAAGTCCTTTATTGGCTCTGTAATCCCTTCAACCAATTAAGCTGCAATTGTTTTATGCAACTTTTGTTTCATTGGAAAATGTGGGAAGATATTTTTATATTACCTAAGTAAGATTAATGGGTAAACACTGTTCACCGCAAACCAAATGATGCTGCCTTCCGGGAGTTGTCAGAAAGACAGTCAAATGATACACCAAGAAAGTACATTGTACGCCTAAGCAAAGCCCTTCAGGACAGCTGGAACATGTTCTTTATGAGGAAACTCCAAGCCATTGGTAATTTCAAGTGTGAGGCAACGGAAGTCTTTCTTAATCGAAAGTCAGAATCTTCTGAAGAACTTCAAGCACAACTTTATAACAAAAGCAATACTGCTCCTATATACATATATATGAAAAACAACAGAATGTTAAGTAATTGAATACCAATATCCACTTTCAGAGAACATAGTTGTAATTTTCAACCATAAAGGTAAGTTCCCAAAAAGAGCAAACATGTAACCAAGAACTTCTTTATGTATATATTTTTTAAATATCAATAAGAAAAATGATCATACTATAGTGCTTGGTCTAGAGTTAGTTAACTCAAGGCTTAACTGAACACAGGGGAAACTGACCCCCAATCTCAATCTCCTTATATTGCCCTGGATACACCTATGCTTAAAATTTTTTTAGGTGTAGCCTCAGGTCTCTCAGGCAACCTTAGTTCACATAAAATGCTTCATCTATCATTCAGCATTGGCTTAAAAACAGGTCAACCTAAAGATTTAGGTGTACCTGCTTGTTTTCATCATCCAGGCTTTCTCTCGATTCCCCTTCCCAATGATTAATAACTGGTCTGTAACATAAACGCTATCTTTTTATGACAGACCAATGACTTTGATAATTTAGTGACAAGTAAATATCTCCCAGCTGTTATCCAGAAACTTATAAATAATTTCAGATATGCTACTTAAATAACATGGCATTATGGGCAAGTCATGTGTTTGGCGTCAGGAGACCTCAGTTTCCCTCCTGGCTCCCCCATGTGCTATATGAATGACCTCACAGAACAGACTTCATTACTCTGAATGTGAAGTACTTCATCAGTAATATCAAAGAAAAAATAAGGTCTACCTCAAACAGTGAGAATTCAATGACATCATGTAGGTAGAAGAGATTTATAAATTGTAACATGCTACACATGTTAATCTTTATATTCTTTATTCTTTTTATTAGAATTTATGTAGTGAGGGCTTACCTTTGTTTGAATCATGCCATAACGCTGTTCTCTCATTTGGGCCACTATATTCTTGATGTTGAACTGCAACAGGATGACAGTGATTTTGTATTATTCACATGGGGGAAAATACAAACCCACAGATTGCCAAATAAGCACTCCATAATTCTTTCCAGTAAAAAAGATGTCAAGATATAACCAGAAAGGTCTCGTTTTCAACTATAAGAAAAGGCACTATTTTTAAGCTAGTCTAATGGATAAGGAAGACTTTAGTTTAAAAGGTTTCCAGGAAAAAGCAGGAAGCAATCATTTATAATAAGAAATGCTCTCCAAAAGAAATAACAACAAATTTGCCCCTGTGTCTACTTTTCTGTTCTCCAAAGGGAAATCTTAAAGCAGGACTGTAATTCTGGAAAAGTCTGAGCATAGAATACTTTTTCTGGCCACATTAGTAACACAGCTGTTTCTCATCTAAAAAGCCCTCTCAACTCAAATGGAGACCCTGAACAACAGTTGGCCCAAAACCAGATTCTGCACCTGTGCATGGATACCAGCCTACCCAGTGTGGTCACTGAGCTGGTGCAGGTCTGCAAGGGGCTGTTACTAATCCACAATGAGATGAGTCCATAAACTGGTAGTAAGTGTTTAGAGACTCTTATGGCAATCTGACAGTGGTGCAGCATCAAGGAGGATCACCAGTGGAACAGGCCTAGACCAGCTCAAGTGTTGCTGAACTTGCCTGGAGAGTCACAAGTGGTGCTGAGGACCAGTCATGTCCAGCAAGACCACATAGACACATGAAATTTTAAGGTTTGTTAACTATAACCCCAAATTATATAAAAATCAGAGAAAATGTAACCATTCCTTGATTTCTATAACTTTTCGTTTTTATAATAATTTAAAATTTTAATTGAACCTTTAAAAATTTGCATATTGAAATAATTATAGATGTACAATAGGTTGCAAAAATATACATGGAAATCCTATGTACCGTAAACCCAATTTCCCCCAATTATGCCATCCTACATAATTATAGTATAATATCAAAGCCAGGAAATTGACATTGGTATGATCCATGAATCATATTTTGATCATTACTCAGATTTTGCAAGTTTTATCTGCAATCATTTGTGAATTTGTGTACATATGTGTGTGTGTGATTTTGTGCAATGTTATCACATGTGAAGACTCAGATAACTGCAACCACAATCCAGATACATAACTGTTCCACCATAAGACTTTCTCATGTTATCCATTAGAACTACTCACCCAACCCAGTCCCTAACTCTTGGCGACCAGTCATCTGTTATCCATCTCTACTGTTTTGTTATTTCAAGAGGATTGTATGAATGGAATCATGTAATACCTAACTTTTTTAGGGTTTTTTTTCTCATTCAGTATAGTTGCCTTGAGATCCTTATAAATTGTGTACAGTAAAACCTTGGTTTGCGAGCATAAGTCATTCTGGAAACATGCTTGTAATCCAAAGCACTTGTATATCAAGGTGAATTGCCCCATAAGAAATAATGGAAACTCAGATGATTTGTTCCACGACCCAAAAATATTCATATAAAAATGATTACAGTACTGTATTATCACATAGAATAATAAAGGAAATACAAAATATAAAGAAAAATAAACAAATTAGGCTGCACTTACCTTTGAAAACCTTTGTGGCTGGTGTGAGGGAGACAAGAGAGAGGAGGGTTATTGTGTAGGATGATTTTCATTGTCACTAACAGATGGTGACTACAGTATAGTATTAATAAACTCTTGTCATATACTGTATTTAATGTAACTGGCAGTAAGGCAGCAGAGAAAAGGGTCTATATCTGCAGGCAGCCTGACCTAGAATGAAGCAAAGCATTCCTAAGCTTACTCTTGTATGGAAAAGCAAAGGACTGTCCATAGGTGCTTTAAGTGGCAAAAAATACACTGTTGTGGGTTACCAGTTGTGGGTACCTTACAAAATTCTGAAAAATCACCAATTTATGTCAAACACTGTGGCCTGAGACCAAGCATCCAAGCATGGGAGACAATCACCCAAAATCTCACAGTGAGAGAGAGAAAGAGAGGAATCATTGGCTCAGTTATGATCATGTAACATTCAGTGTCACATATTATTCTTATTGCAAGATATCACTCATTTATCAAGTTAAAACTAGTTATAAATGTTTGCTCATCTTGTGGAACACTTGCAGGACAAGTTACTTGTAATCCAAGGTTTTACTGTATATCAACAGTTCACTCCTTTTTATCTCTTAATAGTATTCCATTTAAAAAATAAATGAAATGGATATATACCAGTTTGTTTAATCATCAGCTTACTGAAGGACATCTAGGTTGATTCCAGTTTTCATTTATTATGAATAAATCTGCTATGAACATTTACATACGGGCTTTTGAGTAATTGTAAGTTTTCATTTCATTAGGTTAGGATAAACACCTAAGAGTGCTACTGCTGATACTGTATAGTAAGTTTAGTTTAGTTTTGCTTTTGTTTTAAAGAAATTATAAAACTATTTTCTAGAATGGGTATACCATTTTACATTCCCACAAGCAACAAATAATTAATCCAGTGTCTTCAACTCTTCACCAGCATTTGGAGGTATCACTATTTTTTTTATATTAGTCTTTCTGATACATGCCTAGTGATATTTCATCATGGTTTTAATTTCATTTCCCTAAAAGCTAATGAAGCCCAAAATCTATTTACATGGTAATTTGTCATCTTTTTATCCTCTTTGGTGAAATGTTTGTTCATGTCTTTTACCCATTTTCTAACTGGGTCGCTTTTTTTTTTGTTTGTTTTTTGTTCTTTACTATTAAAGTTTTGAGTATGCTTTATATATTCTAAATGGATATTTAGGTATGTTTGTTAGATATGTGATTTGCAAACAGTTTCTCTAAGTCTGTAGCTTATCATTCTCTTCACAGGGTCTTTCACAAAATGAATCATTTTAATTTACTTTGCCCCTAAAAATGTTTGTTCTCACCACCTGGATTCAACCCAATACTTAAAGTTCTAGATAGCTGAATTAGGCCAGAGAAAGAAATAAGAGGCATACAGATAGGAAAAGAAGAGATAAATGTGTCCCAATTGGCAACTAGAATGATTGCCTATGTAGAAAATCCCAAGGAATCTAAAAACAGAACAAAATAGAACAAAAAAAACCTCTTAGAAATAGTGAGTTCAATAAAATCAGAGCATACAAGATCAACACACAAAAATCAATCACATTTCTACATATAAACTATGAACATGTAGAAGCTGATCATAAAAACACAACACCATGTACAATTGCTCCAAAGAAAATGAAATAGGATAAATCTAATAAATCACATATAGGATCTATATGCCCAAAATGACAAAATGCTGATGAGAGAAATCAAAGAAGACCTAAATAAATGGAGAGACATACCATGTTCATGGATTGGAGTATTCAACATAGCAAAGATGTCAGTTCTCTCCAAAGTGATCTATAGATTTAAAGCAATTCCTATCAAAATCCCTGTAAGCTTTTTTTCTGTAGATATAGACAAGCTAGTTAGAAAATTTATATAGGAAAGCACAGACCCTATAAAAGTTAAAACAATTTTGATAAAGAATAAAGGAATCACTCTACCTTACTATATAGCTACAGGAATCTATAGTGTGATATTGGTAAAAGGATAGACAGATGGATCAATGGAACCGAATACAGGGACAGAAATAGGCCCATACAAATGTGCCCAATGGTTTTGACAAAGGTGCAGAAGCAATTTGGTGGAAGAAGAATAGCTTTTTCAACAAATGGTCCTAGAAAATTGGACATCTATAGGAGAAAGAAAGAAAGAAAGAAAGAAAGAAAGAAAGAAAGAAGGAAGAAAGAAAACATATGTAAACCTTGACTTAAATCTCACATTTATACAAAACTTAACTCAAAATGGATTATGGACTTTGGGGTGCCTGGGTGGCTCAGTTGGCTGAGCATCTGGCTCTTGGTTTAGGCTCAGATCATGATCTCACAATTCATGAGTTTCAGCCCAGTGTAGGGCTCCACACTGAAAGTGCAAAGCCTGTTTGGGACTCTCTCTCTCTCCCTCTCTCTTGAGGGCCCCTTCTCCACACCCCCCAATCAAAATAAATAAATAAATAAATAAATAAATAAATAAATAAATATCACACTGCTTCATCTAGAGTCTTGTTACACAAAACAAACAAACAAACCCAACCCTGCCAGATAAACTTGACAGTGTGCATAGTTGTGTAAATAATTTTTAATTATGTAAAGGCTAATGTGCTAAATTTTGGATTATTCACATCATTATGTGATAATACGGTAACCAGTAATGAACAACTGTTATTGTACCCTAAAGACTATTAGAAGAGAAAGGTCTATTGAGACCGTTCAAACTACAGAGCAGTCTCAGGGTTTCTGAAAGAAAAGAGGCAGTGTGTTCCCAATATTTTAAGAATTTTTAAGCAGGCGTGGTTAAAAATGAAAATGGCTATAGAAATAACAAACAAAAAAGAAAGAAATGGTTACATATTCTCCGATTTTCATATCTGAGTTATAATTGATCGGATAATCTTAAAATGTCTCAGGTCACAAATGTCCGCCTCACAGAGCTGGTATGTAGCTTGCTGCATGTAAGACTCCCCATGTGAGTTCCACAACACACAAACTGGTCTATACTCTGTTCAAGAAGACCCATCCACTGGTCATGTTCTTGGATGTCACAGCAATACATCAAACTGCTCTGAAAGTTTCTAAACGTTCACTCTCAATTTCTAGGAATGTATCTTATGGTAGATAATAAACATCCACAGATTGGTGCTGGTCCAAGACCGCACTCTGAGTAGGTCTGGTGGGCAAAATTTCTGAAAAGAGTAGAAAGGGTATCAGTAAGAACATTTGACAGTTCAAGGTTCTGTGGGAAGCCAATAAAGAAACAATGGATGTATTTTCTATTTTTGAATTACTCCATCAAATCTAAGCATCCTTAATTGTAAAATGCATCATTATTTTATGTACCACTAAGAAAAACACTGTCAATTAAACTGACAGATGCCTTATTATAAAACACATTCTGAGTTTAAAGAAGGTATAAGGTGGGAGAAAACAGTGCTCCTTAGAAACATGAAATATAATATTTACAGTTTTTATAGTTTCTACAAGGAATATAAAATAAGGACAAATATAAACAAATTATTTAAGAAACTATGATGGGGAATATATAAAAGAAAATTATACTAACATTTTCTGCTAAAAGGCTCAAACAACATTAGTTATGGGAATGGGTAATATCAGACTTACACTACTAAAATTTTCAGCATTTTTTAGCACACCGGGGGGACTCACCAGTTTATATTAATCCTGAGTTTGCTCTGGAAAACCATCCCTTTTCTCACTCTCAGTCTTATGGCCTGGAGTAGTTCTGACCGGCCTACATAGCCCAGTATCTCCCACAGTGATTAGTTCAGGGAAGGGGCTATAGCTCAGACACAGTGAAAGGCTGGGAGATACTGGCTCAGGTTTCTGACAAAAAGTAATTTCCTCTGTCCTCCAAGGAGCTACTGGGAGAGACCATTTTCCAACCCTCCCACATAATATAGCTTGAGGATAATGAGTTCTGGAACCAAAGTAGCCATTCCGCTGCCCCCGGAGAGAGTCTGGCACTGTTAGGGTTTAAGTGCAGAAGGCCCAAGAGAGCAGAGACCGGACTGTTGTGACAACAACCTAACGCAGAATTTGCCTCGCACGGCAAATGCCCAGCAGCCTGTTTTCTCAGGATTGAGGTGTGGCTTTTCACATTCCTTGTGCCCCTGGTAAGAGTCACTCCTGCCCCTGTGCCTACTAATAAACAGGTGTCTTCCCCTTCGCACTCCTGCAGTGCAGGAAAACAATTCAGTGAGTCAGTCTTTCTGGCCACAAATCTAAGGTCACATTCCCTAATCAGTTTAATCAAGAGTAAAGGTAATAGTATAATCAGTATGTGTCTAATTCTTGTGTCTATCTCTCAGCTGGTTCCAAATTTAGAGGGAAGCAATGAATTGTCAATGATTGACCCAAACCCAGCAATATTATTATCCTTATTTCACATATGAAAAAACTGGGTTTCAGAGATGAGCAATTTGCACAAAGTCACCAAAATCTCAAGTGTGAGGCAAAACTGGCAGTCAAAGCTAGGGACCGCTCATTAAAACTCTGAAGTCTACATTTTTTCCAACGTGCTCATGTGCATGTATTTTCTGTTCATTAAAAACAGGCGTACTTCACTGACATTATTTAACAGGATTTTAAAAGCTGTATGTGTGGGTAGAGGAAAAGCAAAGAGACATGAACTTGCAATCATTGTGCACCTGCTGTGTTCCCAACAATGCTCCATGCCACTCATTTGCATTATGTACTTTAATCATCACAACCCCCTCCCAGAATCTGCACCACTTGATTGAGAAGCAGGTACCCAAAGTTCACATGCCTTCTCTTGACTGAGTTCTCTTGAGGGCCAAATCATAGTCTTCAGGCACTAGAAGGCTGTTAAAAGTAGTAGAGTGTTTACTAATAGCATCAAGTTATCTGTTTAATGTCACTTACTGGAAAGTTCTTTTCGATGGCACAGAACACAACATCCACACAGAGGAACACCCCCGTCCGGCCCACGCCAGCACTGCAGTGAACAAGGACAGGTCCTGTAAGGTGGCTCTTCCTCACATAACGTACATACTTTATGAAGCCATCTACTGGGGCAGGAGTGCCATGGTCTGGCCAGTTGGTGAACTGCAAGTGTTTTATAAAGTGACTAGTTCCTGTCTGTTGAGAGAGGAGACAGGGAGGAGAAAGAAGGGGAAAAGAGAGATTTATCAACTTCTTGTGTTAAGGATCTCAATTCCATTTCCAATACAATAATAATAATAATAATAATAATAATAAATGATAATAATAATGGCTCTATGGTCATACAGTAATGCAAATAAGAATACCAATAGGTAGCATGAATTAATAAGCACTTTTGGGGGTACCTGGGTGGCTCAGTTGGTTGAGCACCTGAGTCTTGATTTTGGATCATGTCATGATCTCATGATTAGTGAGTTGGAGCCCCACATCAGGCTCCCTGCTGGCAGTGTGGAGCCTGCTTGAAATTTTCTCTGCCCCTCCCCCACTTTGCGTGAGTGCACGCACCCTCTTTCTCTCTAAATAAATAAAGAAATAAGTAAGTAAGTAAATAATTTTTAAAAAAAGAATTAAGCACTGATGACGCACCAGGCACTATGCTAGAGACTTCACATGCACTCTTTCATTTAATCCTCACATCAACTCTGGGAGGTAGGTACTGTTTTATCCCCATTTTACAGATGAAACCGTAAGGATCAGGGTAATGGAGAGATGTACGCTAGGTCAGAAATCTCCCACGTCTAGAGCTTGGACTATAATGTAGGCTTCCTGAATTCAAATCAACCATCCTTCTTCTGGACCATGGTTGTGCAGAAGAACCCAGAATCCAAAAACCAAGAATGGGCTAACACATTAGGAAAAGCATTCTATGTTAGCTTGAATGTTTATGATACAAAATTTAATGAAAACAGCTGGGTGCTGCAAAGTTGCTTGACCAGGGGCGCACCAATCTCTTCTGGTGATGAGGACAGGGTAGGTGCTGACCAGGCAAGTGGGCTGTGCCCCCACCCTTATGCTGAGCCCTCTGGCAGCACAGGCATGAAACTCTCCTCAAGGTCGACTATTAAACACTTCCAGTTGACCCATTATCCTTTCCAAAAGGATGGCGCTTTCCCAGTGTCAAGCCCTTCATTTTGCTTCTCTGGGCACCCCTGCAGGGAAACTCAGGATGGGTTTCTTACTCCTCCCTTGCTTTTCCCTAATGCAGCCCTATTTCCTGAGTTCCAAATAGAAATAAGTTTTCCTAAGTCCCAAATAGAAAACTCAGGTTTAAATCATTGGTACGTGAAATTGAATGATGAAAACAATACTGAAAATCTTGTGAAGGCACCAAAGTGAGGATAGCTTTACCACATATGTCAGGAGTTAAATCTCTCCTGCCACTGTTGACCGCTAAGAATCTGCACAAAGGTGGACTTCACCACTTTCCTGACCTAATCACTTAGACAGAAACCGTGATGCAGATTCTTCAAACACGAACGCCATGGTTCTGGAGCCTGTGGGCCTCAGCTCAAAGGCCACCACTGCTTGGATCCAAGCATTTGAGTTCTTGCAGACAGATAATTCCTCTGTGCCTTTCACCTGCCTATACTCTCTAAGCATACTGGCTTTCCCCTGCCATAAAACGTACCTCACACATCATTTTGGAACTTCCTTCCCCACTAGACCATAAGTGTTCTAAGAGCTGATAATGTGTGTGTGTGTTTTCTGTCTCCAGCTCCTGGCACAACACCTGGTTACAACAGGAGGGAATCCACAAGTATTAGGGGAGTGAGGGTTGAAGCGAATCCCCTCAACCTTAGTGCACAGACCAAGCACAGTGCCTAGCACACAGCCAGCAAGGTATCCATCAGTGTCAGCCATCATTCTTGGCCTCCCTGGTCACAACTATGCTCCAATCCTCCTCACTTTTCCCTCTCACCCTACTCCTGTATCTCATCAACTTCTCCCTTCGTACTCAGGTGCCCCATCCCACCGTAAACTTTTTGAAACCTTCATCATTTCCCTTAATGCTTCATCCATTTCTTTCCTTGCCTCCCACAGCCCTTCACTCTCTGCAGCCCCCTCACCGAGGCCACCTATTCTCCCATTCTCCAGGTCCCACAGAGCATAGAGATCAGGTTGCATACTCCTTGCTGCCCACTCCTATTTCCAATTCATCATTCCTTCTTGTGTAAATACCCCTCTTCCTTTTGAGTTTTATACCTCTTAGCTTTATCTTCTCATTCCTATTACCCAGCAGCTTTAGCCTCTGGTCAATTTGCTACGTTCACCAAAAATCCTGACCTTCTCTTTGCCACAGACTCTGACATCATCTACGGCAAATCCAAGGTCTCTACAGCCCAACAGACACCCTAACCTCACAGCGTTTGTATTTCTCTCTTGTAGAGGAGACCACTTGTTTCTTCTGGTCCTCACAGTGATGGTCACTCCTTGAACTTATTATCACCTATAATCATGTCCAGTATCAAAAATCTTCCTTCCAACAACAATGTGACCAAATGGAGCTCTCCTGTCCTTTATGCCCTCCATCTACTCCTAGTTGACCTGCTCCTGATTCCATTTGTCTCCCTAAGTTTAGACTTCATGGCTGATTATCTGAATCATTCTCTTACCAAACTGTTAACTCCTTTCATCCTTTGAATTTTACCACACATAGTGGACAACACCTCACCCTGGGTCAGCCCCTTAACCTGTGTTCAGGAATCTCATAGTTAGGCTGCTGGGAAGGAAATAATTTCATAGATGCACATTTTATTGCTACTGAAAATTTACTGGTTCCAACTTCATCATCTCCAGCAACACTTTTCCTAGTCATTGTTTGGACTCCAATCAATTTCTTTGATCCTCTTGTCACGCTTCCTGTTTAACTCCCCATCTCTTTCATTCCTGTTGAACACATGTATCACTTTCCTGCTAATCAAATCCACTTATACCAATGCTCCTATAAACCATTCCTTTTGTATCTTTTGATTCTATTAAAGCAAGAAATCTATGAGTTATTCTAGATCAACACTTCCCACTAGAACTTTCTATAATGATGCAAATTTTCTAAATCTGTGTGACCCAATATGGCAGCCATTAGTAACATGTGACTAAACATTAGAAATGCAGCTGTTGCAAGTGAAATATTGAATTTGTTGTTTCATATAAATTTTAATGATTTGAATTTAAGCTTAAATAGCCACAATATGGCTTCTGTATTGGATAACTTAACTTCTGACCACTCCTTCTGTCCCTTATAAGTCATAAATCACATATAAGTCTGCCAATTTTATATGAAAAACACCAAAGTCTCTGCTTTTCATCTCCATGCCAACTGCCCTGCTTGATCATGATACCTTCTGACTAAAATTCTTCAATGTCTCCCAATTATCTTCATAATAAAGTTTGTGCTTCTTAGCCAAACTCCAAGATACTTCATGTTATGACTGGTCCCTGCTTACCTTCTAGAGCCTCATCTCACCTCTCACTTTTCCCTGAGTTAAACTGTTAAACTTTTACATTCCCTAAACACTTAACTACTTACATTTCTCCATACACACCGCATTTCATATCTTGATTACCGACTTCTTATTTACATCTTTCTTGTTTGGGTAGTTCTCAATCCAGATGTTCCCTCCTCCAGTAAACCTTCCCCCGAACCCTAAGTAAAGCTAAGTACTTCCCTTCCAGGCCCCAAAGCATTCCATACAGATCTCAGTATTACCACAGACCACAGTAACTAGGAGTATCAGTAAGGATACCCGAATCTCCACTACTTGGTAAGGTAGTGATAGTGCCTGGCACAGTGGTTAGCAATATACCTGAAAGACTCAATACATATGTCATACTAGGCAGGAGCAGCCAAAGTGCATCCCAGGATTAGGCAACTTCCAATACTGATGCTCCCTGTCCCATCTTCCCTGTTTAGGGTTTTCATCTCTCCAGTCAGAGTTTGGTGTCTTGGTTTCTAGCACCAGGGAGCAGTAAAAACAAGTTACTCAAAAAAGTACCCCCAGTCTGTAACACAACCTAATCCTAACTTCTCCTCCTGATATGTGGCTTATCTAATGAAATATACATCTAATACTGATTTTTTTTTAAACTTACAGACTTCCTCACAACTTGAAATATTCGGATGATGAAACATTGAAGTATCTGGTAGTTCTCCATGAAGATACGACAGTTTTTCAATTCCAAAGGCTTCTTCATAGAAATGGGCCAGTAATGGTGGCATTTGACAACTCCACCTTCTATCTCTTTGGTTATCATGACAATAACATTAGAGTTATTTTCTAAAACCATTTGCCAGAAGTCATCTGTGGTACTTGGCAGTGGTCCTTGAGCAGCAATATAAAAATACTCTTCTCCAGAATTCATTATTCTAATATAACTAGCATTGATGTAGTCTTTGTTTTCTCCAAGAGGAACACGTGTTGAATCATCTATCATAAAAACAGAAATATCTGGTAGATAAAAGAAAAGTAGGAGATACAATACACCCTGGATTCATGAAAGTATTTGACACTGGTAAATTCATTCATCTCTTTGACAAGTAGAGAAGATGGCATAAGAGTGTCATTTCAAGAGTTATAGGAGTCCATGCATTTAAGTTCTTCCCTCCCCCAAACATAGTGGCATGACCTACAAAATACACAATGAGTATTTTTTGTTTTCATCTGTTTCTACTAAATAGAGAAGGTTGCCATCAGAATCCAGACACTTTGAGAGATTTCTGTTAGATATGGCACAGGTATGATTAAGCCAAGGGAGTTACCTAACTCCTTTGAACTGAATGCAGCCAAGGAGGAGCCCTCTGAGGGGGCAAGGGAATGCCATTCTCTATAAATCCAGACAAGCTGCAAGCCCAGAGCAGTAAGGGCCAGGATTAAAAAAAAAAAAAAAAAAAATGACTGTGATAGTTGATCAGATCCAAACCCTAGGATTAATGGAATTCTACCAATGCCCCAACTACATGATGGTCAACTTTTATATCCATCCTCAGCATTCACTGGGTGAAACAGTATGTAATCAAAGCAAAGGCATTATGGCAAAATGATGTTATGAAGGGGATTTGCTCCAAGTAACATGGGACTCATGAAACATGAACTATTGCAACAAATATGAAAGAGGAAGCCAATTACTTGGCCTACTCACAAACTCCATTGGCCCCAGAGCTCTTTCTTCATTTTACATAGACATCTGGACCTCTGGCTCAACCACTGCTCCCACACAGACAATAAATGCCCTCAGCAAAGGACAGACCTTCCCTGCCAGGCAGTGGTCTCACCAAGAGCCCCTCCCTATTACTCAGAGTCCTGTGGGCCACTTATCTGGCAAATAGGGTATGACTGAGATAACTAAACAGGGCCTTACACAAGTTCTGATAGAACCCTTTTCAAATTCCAACATAGCAAACATAAACTTTCCTTTGTAAATATGAATAGATAGGAAAAACAATCACTAGATATATGAAGAAGGCTAGTACTTCACAAAAGGATACAATTTTTAAAAATCATAGCAAAGGTTTTCCTTCCTATAAGAGGGAAGAATACTTTAAAAGCTATTTTCATTTAAAATGAAATACAAAAAAGTTAGAGAGGGAGGGAGCCAAACCATAAGAGACTCTTAAAAACTGAGAACAGGGGCGCCTGGGTGGCGCAGTCGGTTAAGCGTCCGACTTCAGCCAGGTCACGATCTCGCAGTCCGTGAGTTCCAGCCCCGCGTCAGGCTCTGGGCTGATGGCTCAGAGCCTGGAGCCTGT